CCTTTTCCTCTTATTTTTTATGCTTTCTTCTAAATTAAGTATTTTGGGGGGCACCTGGGTGGCTCAGTTGGTTAAGCATCTGCCTTCAGCTCAGGTCATGATCCCAGGGTCCTGGGATTGAGCCCCGCATCGGGCTCCCTGCTCAGCAGGAAGCCTGCTTTTCCCTCTCTCACTCCCCCTGCTTGTGTTCCCTCTCTCACTGTGTCTCTCTCTGTCAAAAAATAAAAATCTTTAAAAAAATAAAGTATTTTTCATGATTCCATTCTGTTATCTGTTGGCCTATTAACTTTATTATTTTCCAGTGGTAGTTTTAGGGCTTTATATATCTTTATCAGTCTACTTTCAAGGCAGATTATGCCACTTCCCATACTATGAGTCTTACAATGGCATAAGTCCCCTCCTCCCACCTCTCTGGTCTTTATGTTAGGATTGTCATGCATGTTACTTCTACATATGCTACAAGCCCCAAAATGTTATTTTGTATTTAATCAGCCAATAATCTTTACTTTTAATTTTTCCTAATTTATAATTTTTAAAGTTATTATTTAAATTTTAGCTAGTTAACATACACTATAATACTGGTTTCTGGAGTAGAATTCAGTGATTCATCATCCCAGTAATCCTTAAACAGAAAAAAAATATATTTATCTATATATTTACCACTTCCAATGCTTTCTTTCATCTAGATACATATTTACATCTCTTACCACATTCATTATGCCCAAAAGACTTCATTTCACATTCTGGATAGTGCAGATCTTTTGTTGGTGAATTTTTGATTTTCATATATCTGAAAAACCTATTATATTGCCTTTGTTTTTGCAAATTTTTTTTCACTGGGTATAGAATTCTAGGTTGATGGTCTTTCAACTTTAAAGATACTTTAAAACTAATGAAAGTGCCAGTTTTCTGGCTTGCATTGTTTCTGATCAGAAGCCTTCTCTCATTTTACCATTCCTCTGTACCTACAGTTTTTTTTTCCTGCCTTTAAATTATTAAATCATTGATTTTAAGCAATTTGCTACATGTCTCAGCATAATATCCATGTTTCTTGTGCTTGAAGTTCATTGAGCTTGGATTTGTGGGTTTATAGTTTTCATTAAGTTTGGAAATTTCTCACCCATTATTTCTTCAAATCTTTTTTGTTTGCCCTGTCTCCTCTCCTCACTTGGGAACTCCAAATATAAATATATATACATATATGTGTGTGTGTGTATATATATATATATATTTTTTTTTTTTTTTTGCCTGAAATTTCCCTGTATCTCATTTATTTCTCCTAATATATATTTTTTTCAGGTCTTCTTTCCATTGCTGCCTCTAAGTTCACTAAGTTCTGTTCTGCAGTGTGAAATCTGCTATTTCCATTCACTATATTTTACATCTCTAACATTATATTTATCAACTGTAGAGTTTCATCTGGATTTAACATGCTTGAACATACAAAATGTAATAACTGTTTTATCATTTAATATCATATAACTGCTTTAATTTAATGAAAACTAATACAGTAACTTTTCTGTAGTAACTACTTCAGTGACCTTTTATACTAATTCTGTCTTTGCTATTTGTCATTTCTGGGTGTTTTTATTGTTTCTTCTCACTTTGAGTTCTATTTTCCTGTTTCTTTGTAGGTCTGAAAATATTTAATTGGACAGAAGATACTGTGACTTTTACCTTGGTGTGTTTTTGCATTCCTTTACATACTCTTGAGTTTTCTAGCATGTAGTAACAGGAATAGTTTCATTCTCTTGAGACTTGCTTTTAATCTTGATAGACCAAACTGGTAAAATCTTTAAGTCTAGAGCTATTTCTTCCCCCAGTACTGAGACAATACACTTCTTAGCACTCTAACCAATGTCCTATGATTTACATGGTTTTTCACTCCTACTGGTGGAAAAACAAATGATTTTGTGTGAGTCCAGCGATTTTTCCTGCTCCTTTTGGTGGTTCTTTCTCTGGGAACAGGTGGTTTCCTTATTAGACACACTGATGCTCTAACCTGAAGACCTGAGGAAAATCCTTAGCAGATGTTTGGAGCTGTTTGTGCAGCTCCCTCCTAATACTCTGCTCTGCATTCACACCAGCTTGATCTACCCTGGCTCTCAAACCCTTCTCAACTAAGGAAGAGCTCTCCACAGGTGTAGGCCAGAATTCTCTCATTGGGGAGTCAGAGGAAATCTTGGGGGTCACCATTCCTATCCCCCACCCCCAGAGATTACTATCCTGTCTTGCCTTACATCTCATCAATGGAAAAACAATTGCTTCATACATTTTGTGCTATTTTCAACGGTTTCTGGTAGGAATTACTCCACGTTGGCTGCTAGTTGGAAGCCCTTCATCAGAAATCTACTGTTTTGATTATTTGCCAGGCTGCATTGTTTTAGTTGGAGGAAAGAGGAATTATTTGCTCCCAAAGCCTCTTAGAAATAAAATCTTATTTTGTTCTTTTTTTATTAAGAGAATACTTCTCTAGAGTAATTGCCATCTTTTTTCCCCACAATATACACAAGGGATACAACAACACTGTATCCTTAACAGTGGCTTACAACTGCAGTGATTCCCTTGGGGATAGAGCATGCATGCATGGTTTGAAAATAACAGTGATTCTAACTTGCTGAAAACTCATCTCTAACATTTCTTCCTTATATATAATTTTGGCCTTCTGATTCAGTTTTCCTTTTTTTTTTTTTTTTTTTTTAAGATTTTATTTGACAGAGCGAGAGACAGCAAGAGAGGGAACACAAGCAGGGGGAGTGGGAGAGGGAGAAGCAGGCTTCCAGCTGAGTAGAGAGCCCGATGCGGGGGCTCAATCCCAGGACCCTGGGATCATGACCTGAGCTGAAGGCAGACGCTTAATGACTGAGCCACCCAGGCACCCCATGATTCAGTTTTCCTTTTATTCATTATTTTATCCTTTCATTAAGGAAGAATCTTTGTAATTACTTCTAAAAATCAGAAATGTTTTAAATATGATCAACATTTTTGCATCTAGAAAAATAACCTGACTTTAATTATTTAACCTAGTGATACAATATTTCCTTATGTTGAGCCTGCTTATAATCCCAAAATAAAAGGAGTCTGGTCATAAGATGCCACTGTATTAGTAACAATATAATATTAATATAATAATTAAAGGCTATTTGGGGCACCTGGGTAGCTCCATCAGTTAAGTGTCCACCTTCAGTTCAGGTCAGGTCATGATCCCAGGGTCCTGGGATGAGCCCCAAGTCGAGCTTCCTGGTCAATGAGGAGTCTGCTTCTCCCTCTCCCTCTGCTCCTCCCCCCAGCTCATGCTCTCTCTATAGCCCTGCTCTAAAAATCTAAAGGCTATTTGCTTGTATTTAAGATTTTCAAATGTATATACACAAGTAAGACTAACCAAGTCTTCAGTTTTTTGGTTATCTGTTTAAGGTTTTGGATCTTTGGTTTGAGCAGCTCACAGAATGGAAGAGAAGGCTAAAGAACCAGACACATGAGGCACATCAATATGCTGTCCTCAATCTGAATTAATCCCAACCATTTTCCTACATTATTCCATGAAGCGTTCAACTAATTAGCCACGTTTGTGTCTCATCTAACCACAAAGTTAAGGACAATGACAGTCCCATTAAAACTCTATTGTATGGGAAATGAATTAATCCTCCAAAGGAAAATGGAAGTGCTATTACTAGAAGAAAAAAAAATGGATGCAGCACATATAAAATTAAAAGACATTTAAATCGATTAAATTGTGCTGTGTGTCTTCATGCTTCCTATGCTTAAGAACAGAGGAATTCTCTACTACCAAAAAATTAGAAATTACCCATTAGTGCACTTATTAGTCTCAGGTCCATTTAGTGAGCATATGTGGAGTGCATTCTCAGTCTCTTCCCTGTTTCTGGTCTATTCAAATTTCTTACTCCTAGAAGCCTAGGTCTTAAAGGTAGCTATGATCGATCACATCCATATCAAACAAGAATGGCCTTGGTCCATATCCCTTTATTTTCAGACTATGGTCTATATACCACGTGTATATATATCCTTTAGGATTCAGGCTTATTCATTTTTCAAGACCACTTCTGCCATGTAGTAGGAAGTTCCTAAAAGGCACCTTTGTCTGCCTCAAAATACAGAAATTTTTCTTTACTGCTGGTGATCTATCTATAAAACAGATTTATTACCAGGCAACACGGTTGATCCTTGAACAACAGGAAGGTTAGTGGCACTGACCACCCTCCTCCAGTAAAAAAAAAAAAAATCTGTAACTTCTGACTCCCCCAAAACTTAAGTCTACTGTTGACCAGAAGCCTTACCAATATAAATAGCTAACGAGCACATATTTTGTATGTTATATACTCTATTCTTACAATAAGGCTAGAGAAAGTTCTTTTCAAATTGTTACAAACCTCAAAAAATTTTTTTCAGTATATTTACTGAAAATAATCTGTGTAAGTGGACCTGGATGGCTGGCCCTCATGCTGTTCAGGGGCCAAACTGCAGAGCACGGCTTTTGGGAGCATGAAACTTCACTTCCAACAGGTGAAGGTTTCCAGCCTCGCTCTGCATTTGGTTGTGTGAAATTGCTCTATTTTTCCTCCTCTAGTTTGTTCTTTCCTTTGTAAAATGGAGACACCACAGAACTGTCATTACTGCCGGCATGTTTTGATTCCCGTTTTATTCCTTGAAATGTTTTAGGAACATCAGCATTTTGTCTGCTCTCTCTCCTTCACCTCGGAGGTTATGGGTCCCGTGAAGTAGGTGGGAAAGGAAACCTTGAGACAAGTGGACCAGGATTCCCAGGGCAGATATGCTAGTCTCAGCTCTAGCCTTACAGTTCTCTCTCCTTGGACAAATTATTTCCTCACTTAATGTCTCAATAAAAGGAGAAGTCTCCATTACAGTAATGGTTTTCGGACTATGGTCTCACAGAAATCCTGATGTTATTCCACCCATAAAGTGAAGGGCATCTTCCACTAACTCCAGACAGTAAGTCTCACATTTGTTTTTTCCTCCTGCAGGTCCCTCAAATACTGAGACTGCAGCTGTTTCTGAAAACTCAACACATCGGACCCTTGTCCTTCTCAAAACAGCACACGTGTGGCCCTGAGTGCGGAGCCCAGGCAGCACAACGGAAGGGAGAGGGAGACCGGGGAGCACGAGGGGGAGGAGAGCGAGCCCCGGGAGCACGAGGGGGAGGAGAGCGAGCCCCGGGAGCACGAGGGAGGGGAGCTGAGCCCCGGGAGCACGAGGGAGGGGAGAGCGAGCCCAGGGAGCACGAGGGAGGGGAGAGCGAGCCCCGGAGCACGAGGGAGGGGAGAGCGAGCCCGGGAGCACGAGGGAGGGGAGCTGAGCCCCGGAGCACGAGGGAGGGGAGAGCGAGCCCGGGAGCACGAGGGAGGGGAGCTGAGCGCCGGGAGCACGAGAGCGGGGAGAGCGAGCCCGGGGAGCACGAGGGCGGGAAGCGCGAACCCGGAGAGCACGAGGGGGAGGAGAGCGAGCCCCGGGGAGCACGAGGGCGGGGAGCGCGAACCCGGAGAGCACGAGCCCGGGGAGCACGAGTCCGGGGAGCACGAGGGCGGCGGGCCGCTCACCGACACCAGCCCCGCGCCGCCCGCCCCCGCGCTCTGGCCCCGCCCCCGCACTCACTGCCTCCCTCTCGAACATGCTGGGCCTCCTCTCCCTCCGAGGCTGCGGCGGCGTCGGCTGCGGCTGAGAAGCCGGACTCAAAAACGGTTTCCCGCCTCGCCCGCGTTTCTCCATGCTGCCCGCACTCCACCACGCCCAGCGGCCCGCCTCCCCTCGCCCCAAACGCCTCGGCCGCTTCCCGCGAGAGCTCAAGTCCCGCGCCTGCGCCGCGCCGGCCAGAAGTGCGCCGGAAGGGAGGGGCGGGGCGAGGCGAGGCGTGCGTCATCCCGCCGCGCCGGCCGCCCGTAGCTGGAAGTGACGGCGGCAGAGCGGCCGGGAAGCGGGGTGCCGGTGGGCGCCTGAGCGCGCTGTTGGCCTGCGCGGCGCCCGCTGCGGCGCGGGCGGGGGAGGCGCAGCGTCGGCCGCACCCTGCTGGCCTGGCGGGCTCTGGGCCGCGGTCCCCGGGCCTCCGTGGTGTCTTGCGCAGCGCCGCCGCGGGAGCAGGTCGGCCTTGCCCGCCCCTCGTCCGCGGCCGGCGAGAGGATGAGCGCCCGGCCCGGCCCCGAAGACGCACCGCTTGCCCTCGTTTGTCTTGGCGCCGCCCGGGCCCCCAGACTGTTCCAGGCGCGCAGTCCCTCGCACCTCCCAGGCCCCAGGCTGAAGCCCGCGAGTCGGTAGTGGAAGAGCGAACGCAGTGTTCCGCTCGCGGGTGGGGTCTTCGTCCTCGAAAGGAAGCTTTCTCTGCTCCCACACTGTGTCATACTCACCCCTGCAGGTGCTACTTGCAAATCGAAATTCGACGTTTTCAGGCCATTTTGGTTACAAAACTCAATCACAACAGCCTCAGTGGCTGTAGGTCGGGTGGTACGGGGCTGCCTCATAGGGTTTTATTCATTTCCTGTCCTTGTGGAATTAAATGCAATCATCTATCCTCACTTTTAGCAATAGCTACTGTTTTTGAGTGCTGTGCGTGAGATGCTTTTCAAGTATTAGCTCTAATTACTGCAACACTAGAAGATCATACCCTGTACCATTTACAGTTAGAACGGAGGCTCGGAATACTAACTTTTTCAAAGCAAGTGGTACAAGGAGTCTGAAGAAGAGTTCAGATTGAAGGTCCTAAGTATAGGTCCTTTCCACCGGCCCACAGTGCCCTGGACAAGACCCTGGAGTATCAAGGAGTAAAGGTACGGGTGGGCGCGTGCGCGCGCGCGGATGTGACGGGCAGGGCGGGTTCTGGCCTCTAGTGGGGGGAGAGGCCATTCATAACTAACAGGAAAATGTACGGTCACGAGTCGCAAGGTATTGCAGTACCTAATATTTCCGGATTTGAAGTGGGATTTCATTCCCAATTAACATGAGGTTAATTATTCAAGACAATATGTGCTTGCAAGTTAACGTAAAAGCCAGCTTCTAGAATTGTTATTCCCAAAAGCTGAAGGTTGTAACGACTTGAAGAAGTGCATTCCCTTCAGCTCCAGGAAGGATGAGCCATCGACGATTCAGTTAACTCTCATTTGCTGTGTGCTGGGAGCTATGCTGTGTCGTGGGGGAACATTCTGGGTGAGATCTGACCTTGGTGCTCTAGGATCTGACAGTTTGGTTAAGGCTGCAGGGCAACTATATTGCAAGGGCGAATACAGCCAAAAGAGAAGACATTTCTTAAAGCTTCTGTTGCCATATCCAGGGCCTGCAGTAGTGGAGGAGATGGGCTTTTGTGCAAAAACGTTTGCCTGCCACCTGTCACTCCAGAACCAGAGCTCCTTGCTTAGAGTTCAGATGCTTTTTAAAAATGCAAGGAGTCCCTTTTGATATCAAAGTAACCTTTAGGACTGCATTTCTGTATCGGGCAGAAGACAAACCACACTAGGCTTTGAAGGAAGACAATTAAGAGTTAACAAGTGTAGAATTGTTAGAGAAAGAATAAGAAGAGATGTCTACAAGTATTGTGGACTTGGCAGCTGCAGGAAGCATTCACTCCCTTGTGGGACTGAGAGAACCAGGGCAGTGGTTGCAATTTTACAACTTAGCGACTTGGTGGAAGGTCCCACCCAGTTGAAACTTGGATCTATGAGGAAGGAGGTTGTGCTGCTCAGCTATGGGGCGGGCCTGACAGTTCTGGGAAGCAGACCTTTGAAGAGCAGGCGCTGGACAGCTGGTGGTGTGTCATGTGGGGGCACAGTGAAGAAGCTGGGCCTGCAGGTGCTGGGAAAACTGCAGACTGGATTCTGCAACTCTGCTGCTGCTGGGGAGAAGCTCCAAGGGACAGAGAGTGGAGGGGAAGGCCCAGGTTGCAGGCAGCAGGAGCGGGTCCCGTCTGCCCCCTGCTCTCTTGCAGTGTCCGTGGTCCCTGAGCGGCTGAGCAGCGTGCGCCCTATGGGTCACAGCATAACTGCTTATTTGGCACACATTCCTTGGGTCTGTGGAAGATTGGTTGGCAGCCAGGGCTGAGAGTGGGGAGTGAGGCTTCTGGGCAATGGGAGGAGTGAACTGTGTAACAGAGGGTTGCTGAGAAGGATGCAGGAACTCAAGATGACCAGCTTCCAAACCAGGGAGCTGCTAGGGCTTAACCCCTCATGTTAGAACACACACCCCTTGACTTGATACAGCAGATGAAGACCCCGTGATAATTTTAGTCCCACAGTGTGACTCCTTTGCAGGTTTATAAGATGATGTTAGTGTAATGTGGGGATAATTGTGAGGATCTTGGTATTATTTAATCCTCATGTAAAAGCATGGTTTGCTGCTGCTTATACCACATAAGGATTCAGAACTATGCTTTTTACCTGCATTTTAGTTTATTATGCTTGATTTTCTGCTTTTCCATTCTGCATTAAAAAAATTGCTCATTTCAATAACTTTGGGACAGTATAGGAATGCTGAAAGGAACAATGCACTATCCACAAGATGTACCAAGCTTCGGTAAACTCCTATCTTCACAAATATTATTAAAAATTTCACATCTTCAACATTTATTTGATAAAGTTTATGTAAACTATCTTTGTTTGATATTTAATCACAGTATTTTAATCATACAGCTCTCATGATAGCCAGAAAGTGTGTTAACAGTAGCTGTACCTAAGTACATTCTGAACTTAAGGTAGAATGGGATTTTCTTGTGACTTGAATATATAATCGATATTACTGTTTTTACTTCTTTTAAATAGTGTCTTCTGTGTCTTATATTTCAGATGCTAATAGAGGATCCGATTACCACTTGTCTTTCTCCCTCAGTCTATGATATGATCTGTAAACTCGGGTTTGAAGTCAGAGAAAGTTGTGATATCAATCGCATTGTAACTCAGAGGGGTGAAGTATGCTGGCAGACCATCACAGCCTGTGTGACTTACACACAATCAGGTCTGTACGTTCTCTGCACCCCAAGCAGCTGTCAGTGCTGTTTGATTTAAAACGTCTTGGCTGTAAAACTTTCCTTTCTGACCATTGTTTCTTTTAGTTAGAGGTTGTTACAATACAGACCTAGCTCAGGAGAGGAAAGGGATCAGGTGACATAGGAGGGAATGAGGCCAGAGGAGCACAGGAGAGATACCAGAGCACTGAGCCAAGGAAGCCGTGTGTGAGAAGGAGGCCGTGGGCGTAACAGTCTCGCTCCATGCCAACAGTCAGATGGAAGAGGGAAGAAAGTAGGGGTCCTAGGAATTCTGGGTAGGAAATGACCAGTAGGATATTACACAGCTGTCTTCAATGTTCCAGGCTTTATTGTACATTTTTTAGAGCAGGGATGTGGCTTGGGAAATTTAATAATAGTTATAAAAATTGCAAATGAACATGCTCTGGCCCAGCGGTTTCATCCCAGGAGTTTGTAAGACAGGCACACATACAGGTACGAACGAGTGTTTGTGCCAGGTTACTGTTGGTGCTGATTGTAAGCAAAAATGGAAGAAAACAACCCAAACGTTGGGAACAGCCAAGCATACAGCATGACTACGACAGGCACGCGAGAAAGCGTTAGGTGGTGGTGCGAAGGGTGGGGAGCCCATCGCCCTGAACCACGGGGCTAAGCGAAAAAATAGGAAGGGCATATCATTGTATTTGCTGTGTATGTATAAGTATTTCTAAATACCCCAAGGAATTAATAACTGTAGTTGCTATAGGAAGGAGAACTGGGTGGCCAGAAGGGAGACCTTCACCCTTTTATATTTTTTGGGTGTGAGTCGTGTGAATGTTCAGCTTCAAACTTATCAGAAAATTAAAACAAAAAAATTCGTATGTTCTAAAATAACATCATTGGAAATCTCATAGTCTAATAATGTCAAGTAAAAAATCAGGTTAAAATATTATATATACAGTATGAACCTGATTTTGTGTAAACTTACAAGTGAAGAAAATATTTTCTCTTGATTAACCTTTTTGTATCTTCCAACCTTGTACACTTCTAATAGTGTATTTTTCTTTTATTAGATAAGCACCATGTAACTTACTTCCAGCAATATCTGGGTATCTTTATTGTAAGTTCAGCTATAAACTGGTTGTTGATTTCATGGAAATTTCGTAATTAAAGCACTTTTTCTTTGATGCTTAGGCACTTTCATCCCGCGGTAAGGAGCTGTAGTACTCACACTGCTCTTCTTCTCCCTGAAGCCCAGAGTCTGGATTACCGGGGCACCGTGCTGCTGCTGGGCCCCGTGTGTGAGGCCGTCCACCGACATTTGTTATCTCTGACCAAGGGGCAGTTTGACACGCGATACACGCCGTGGCTGCAGTGGACAGCTCTTCCAGAGGTTTGGCCTGTGAACAACCTTTAGAAATAGAAGACTTGGCGAAGTCCGCTTAGAGGCCCTCGTTACCTGTTCATCTTAAAGGGGTCTCCTCCATCCTCTAAGCCCTCCGCCTGTGAAAAGGCTTGAGGGATGCAAGGGAAACTCGGAATGTAATGTAGTCGCCATGGCCTGAAACATCCTTGGAACGAAGGAAGTTTTTGGATGCAGTATCCATACTGGGGGTTGGAGAGTAGCTAGGTATGTGGGTGCTGGTCCTGGGAAGATGAGGATGGACGGCTCCAGAAAAAAGCAAAGACCTTATGGACAGACAGTAAGGTGTTCTTGAGACAGTGGGACAAGGAAACCAGGTGGGGATGCTTGGTTTGTGGAGGATGAATGGAAACGCCCAGACGTTTTGGCTGGTTTGTTGGTTGGTGCAAACCAGCCATTGCACTTGGCACATTTAATGACCACAGTAGGGCAGTAACTATAAAAGGTCTAATTATAAAATACTTCAAATTTCCTGATGTAGATAGAAGGGTCATTGCTTCTCCCCTTGTAACAGCTCTTACATGACAGGCTGAGCTGCCTCACGTTTGTTGACTTTTAAGAACTAATCAGAATGGGAAATAAGATTTAGGTCAAAATATTTGACTTTTCAATTTACAGTTATGCCAGATTTATTGCTTTCAGTAAACATTTAAATGAAGAAAACGTTCAAAACTCCTTAGATATTAAACACTTTTTTGATTCTTTAGATATTGTTACAGTTGAGTCTTGGACAGTGCAGGGCTAAGGGTGCCCACCCCCTGTACAGTTGCAAATCTGCATATAACTTTAGACTCCCTCAGAACTGAACTGCTAATAGCCGACTCTTGGCCACAAGCCTTATTGATAATGTAGTTGATTAACACGTATTTTAGATGTTTTATGTATTATATACTGTATGCTTGCAATGAAGTCAGCTAGAGAAACATTATTAAGAAAATCATGAGGAAGAGAAAAATACACTTACAATACCGTACTGTATTTGTGGAAAAAATCCGCGTGTAAGCCGACCTGTGGAGTCCAAACCCGTGTTCAGGGGTCAACTGTGTATCTATATAACAAATGTTTACCTATACCAAGAAAGTCATGAAAATACACTAATTGAAATCTTTAGAAGTTTGAATTTCATAAATCGTATTGCTTGAGAAATACTTGGGGAAATGTTTCTTACTGATCACAAATTCTAACATATGTCTTGTTCTACACAGTTATTTCCTGAAATATTTGATGCTTTGGGAAGCCCTCAATGTCCCGCTATTCCTCTTAGCTTAATGAAACTGACGGCATGTCTAGAACGGGCTTTGGGTGATGTAAGTGTGAGACCTCTTTCTTTGGTTCACTGAAGTATCTGAATGAACATCAGACTTTTACAGCTGTCCTCAGATTTCTTGATTTTAATTCTTGTTTTCCTATGAAATGTAATCATTTGGCACAGATGTTTAATATTTTTCTTTTTCAGTGATTATGAAATCAAAACATTGGTGTCTTCAGTGTTTTTCTCCCTCATTTGTACAAACAGTGGCTTTATGGGTGGGTTTTTTCTTCACATTGTTTGGCTCATTACAATGCAACTGTAACACCATCCTTCTTTGAATTGTAGGTGTATTTACTGAATGGGAAGGAATGCCCCTTTCTTTTGAGAGATCTGCTTGCGTCTGAGGAGCTTGCCGAGGTCTTTGGTCGGTCTGTGGTAAGCTTGTTCACCTAAACCTGATAGAGTAGACACAGCACAAAGCCGCTCGTAGTAGCTCTACTTTTGCTCCTCAGAAATTGATGCTGCATAGGAAAAAGTTGATGACAGCTGTAATTTGAGCATATTCTCCTTTGCCACCTCCCCTTTCAAAATTGCCACTTTTCCAGCCACAAGACACACGTCTCTTATCCTGGGTCTTGGCGTGGCATAATAGCCTCTGGTGGGACAGCCTCGGGGGGCCAGCTGGATGAACAATTTGAACTCTATTGCTTTCATTAATTATACGTTAATAATTATCATAATAGCATATTCTAGAATAAAATTTTGACCATTTAGGGAGGGATATTAAAGTTTTATACTAAAATATCCATTTTTTTTTTTTAACATGTGGGAGTTTATGCCGTTCTGCAACTGTTCAGACTTACAGTGAAAAAAAACTAGATGCCAGTTTAAAACCATGCAGAGCTGTATACTTTGTCAAAATCTTCAACAGGCCACAACCGAGTGAGGCAGGATCAAGGTGCAGAAGAATGCCAAGATAGCGTCCTGGGCAAAGCTGAGCCTGCCGAGCCAGGACGATGTTTAAAATGCTGGTGTAATATGTTACCAGCTAGACTTGCTATTTTTGGATAAGAAATCTGTTTTCAGTAAAGCTCTCCCACTTTACAGTGGTTCCCTGTCAGCTTAAAGAGCACTTTGTTTAGTGGAGAATATGGAGTGAAGACCAAGTACAAAATTCCTGTAGTTATACTGACTTCTGAAATAGATCCATGTGTTTGGCCTGTTGTTTGTTGTCGGCCTGGGTGCTGTTAGCCTCTTGCTGACCTGCAGCCACTCTCAGCCCCAGATCCTTCTACTAGTCCATTGGCTTCTGTATTTCTGATTACCCAGGTGGTATGAACAATTAATTAAAGTTAGTAGTAAACTAAATTAAAAATAAATATAGCTAAGAGAGTATTATTATGATTATTAGTATTAGGTATTACTGTTCAAGTATTAAAAATTGATGTGAGCATGAAGAGTTTCTGGAGTTGCATGGAGAGACTGGTTGCCAAGGGTTCTGATGCTGAGTTGAAACCCTCTTTGTAACTTCTGCTCTGGCTTGTCCTGCCCTTTGAGAGAAATTCAGGATCTGTGCATCCATTTCCTCCTCTCAGCAAGAGTCCTTCAGGCGTCTGAAGATAGCTTTCCTTCCTTCTCCCTGTCTTCTGGAGGCATACTCTTCCTTCTCATACGACTTGGTTTTGAGTTATTTTAGTCTCTGCATATCTTCTTTATCCTGAATGTGTTCTGAAGTGTTGCCCTCCAAACCAAGAGCAAGCCCATGGAAATGCACAAGTCTTGCCATCTGATAAGCGGGATCCCCATAGTGGGCGTCTTTATAAGTGGAGGGAGAGAAGCAGGTGAATGGTGAGCTTCCAGCCAACAGCTAAGTAGGGGAGGTCTGGGCTGGGAGCATCCGTGGGCCAGCCCCTCCTCACAGGGTCTGCCTCCTGTGGATTTCCTGTTCCCCACTTTGTGCTTTGTTTTATCTAGGTAGTAGGCACGCTTGATGTGCCGGATGAAAGCAGCATAGCCTGGGACAGATCTCATCCCCCTTTATAGCTCGTGGCCCCTGAGGCCTAGCTTTCAGCTCTCCATGCTTGTATTCCTCATCTGCACAGTGGGATTAATAGTAATGCCCTCCTCATAGGTTGTTCTGAGGATGAATGAGTAATAAATACACACAAAATGTGTTTGACGTGTTAAATGCCCAGTAATGTTTGAATACTATTAGACGATTACTAGTACTACCGTATGCCAGCCAGAGTGTCGGGTCTGCTCTAAAGAAGAAAGCAGACGTTCTCCCACTACTATATCAGTTTATTCCGTAGTTCCGTGAATATTTAACTGTGCAGTAATCTGTTCTTAACCTGATTAGATGGACGTGCTGAAAGTCTTTGTCGGATCTCCACGTGGACTCAACCTGCGTAATACCCTATGGCACGGCTTTGCTTCCCCTCATGAGATCCCCCCAAAGTACGTTGCTAGGAAAGTAATTTTCTCTCTTCTTTGATGTACTTAAGAGTTTGTTTTATCTTGAATTTTACATTGGGCAAAGATGTGTTTTGGGAAAGATGAGAGTTTTGAGGCAGGAATTTGAAGATCAAACTGAATCGATAAACACCTGGTGTGTGACAGGGTTGGGACCCCACTGACTTCCACCCCAGAGGCAGCTGTGAGGCCGAGCCTCACAGAGGTGACAAGGGGCACTGCCTGCTGGGGGGTGGGAGACCCCGAGAACTGCTCTCTCGAGCCTCCCAGCCCTCGTGTAGCTGAATTCCCACACACAGCCAGGGGGAGTTTCCTACAATTGAATAGTGTTGTACTTCCTTAATTTTAAACTTGTTCTTTTGAAAGTAAATCTCTTTATGTGTATGACAGTCCATTTTTCTAACAGATTCTGTGGTGTTTTGCACTAGATACTGTTCAATGATGGTACTGTTGACCGTGGGATTGGGTCAGCTGCTGAAGAGTTACTTGCAACAAGCTAAACTTGTGTTGGCACACCGACCTTTCATCGTTCTCACAAACCTTGAGGATTTGGCCGTTTTCCCTGGCAAGTATTACACTTCACAGTTTCCCCTGAATGTGTCTTCATAAAGGTAGGGATAAAGTCAGGAAGTGGCACGGGGACTTGAGCCCTTTCGATGGACTACTTTCCAGAGGCAGGAGAAGATGAACTTTCAAAGCTGCTTAAACTTTGCTACATAAAACCTCACCCCCTACAGCGGGGCTGAATCTCTGAGGTAAATCATGGCAGGAGTAACCCAGATCACCTTATCCTGGCAGTCTTAGCCTTTTTGTGCCACAGACCCTTTGGTAGTCCGCTGACTGCCAGTAATACATACTTTTTAAGACTTTATTTTTTAGGGCAGTTTTCAGTTTGGAACAAAATGGATGGGGAGGTGCAGAGATTCCCCGGAAGCCCCCGCCCTGACATGTGCAGCATCCCCCCGCAGAGCACATTTGTTGCCAGGGATGAACCTGCACAGACACGTCATCATCAGACAGGGTCCCTAGTTTACCTCAGGGTTGAGTCTTGCTCCTCTCCCTTATGAAAATGTATCTTACTTTTCTTAGCGTGGTCAGCTGGTCAGCCCTGCCGTCCTCTTCTCATAGCTGTGGCCTGAGTCATGAAGAGGCCGTCGTGCGCCTCCCCTTGCCCCAGGGGTGCCACGGTCACCTACGACTCGTGGGCCTCCTGCCCTGAGTCTGCTTACGTTGTTCTTCAACTGATTAGGGTGATTGTGCTTAAAACTCTTGTTATTTTGCAGACGTTACTTCTGAGGTACTTTCAGTGTTAGAAGAAGTGATGAAGAAATCCACTTTCATATTAAAGGTCATGTTGCCGTACTGGGAAGCTGCATTAATCGGGTTCAGGTCACACAGGTAAGTGAGGAGGCTGGTCCTCTCCAGGACGGCTGAGCTTAAAATGCCTTCACAGTGCTGACTGAAACGTTACGCATCAGCCTTTTGGTGTAGTCGATACCGATAATCATTCTTTGGAATCAACTTTTCGGTGTCATTTGAGTTCTAACTATGAGAGAACCGTGTGTCCCGTGTTAAAGAATCCTGCAGCCAGGAGGAGGTAAGTTCGACTCGGTTTCTTGGGGAGCAAAGCAGATGCACGTGGACATCGCGAGGCCCACGGCCTTTGCCTCCCTTCAGGTTCTGTTGTCCGTGCGTTCGTTCGTACCTTGAGAACCCACCCAAATCCTGCAATCTGAGTATTTCTTACAAGTAGTGGGAAGAATTGGGCAGATCTTTGATGACCTTTTATTCTGGAGCTTCTCTTATGTCAGAGCAGTGGAAAATAGATTTAAGCTCACGAGTCTAAGGAGCCTGTGATTCTGCATTGTTTCTCGTGTTCGCGAGTATGGTCACCCCTCCTTGCCTTGGTCACACATTGGTAATATCTGGAACAAAGCACCGTTATTTGGGGTTGATGCCAGTGTTTACTTTTAAAGCTTGAGATTTGCCTATTTTACTTCAATTTCACAGGTTTGCCGACTGTGCCATGTTGTTACTGACACAGTTAGAGACGGGACTCAGGAGAGTTTTTGCCACTGTTAACCAATGTCCAAAAAGACTTCTGACTGCTGAGGTACACATGCTTCCGTGATTGATGGTGGTTGCCGCTGTATTGAGTTTTCTCTGCCTAATTAAAAGTTTTTAATATCTCATTTTTGTTTAGCATTAAATGAATTTTTTAGCTAAGAATTTTCTTTGGAACGCTCGAGTGTTGTTTTTTTGTGGCTTCCTATTATAATGATTTTATATGGTGTATAATTATTTGTGATTGTTTTTGATCGTTCTGTATTTCCAAGTATTTCAGACTTGTCAGGAGAGTAGAAACCGCGTAGCCTTGTAGCCGCAGGACGCAGCTCTGGGCCAGAACTGCTAGGGAGCTTGGGGAAGCTTCTGGGTGGCCCTGTGCCCAGTCACCTGGCAGAGGCAAGAGGGTGCGTGTGTCGGGGCTGCCCCCGGAACTCTTGTTCCTCCCACTCAGCTTCGTCTTTCCGCCCCTTTCCAAAGGCATTCCTCGCCATTCTGTTCCCAACGCTGTGCTCCCTGGATCTGCTGCGGTAGATCTTACTCCCTCCCATGTCTTAGCCGCCCTGCTTCCAGGGGAACAAGGATTGGAAAATACTTCGAACCAATGAAAGCGAAAGCCTGACACAGGCTGAGCTGTCAATGCGGCCGGAGAGGTGTCGGGACAACAGTCTGTCCTATGAACGGCAGGTGCTGTCCCAGGCAGTCGTCTCCTCAAACTCAGCTCCTCCTCCTCCCGAGTTAGGCTTACCCCATTTGCTGAACGTTTTTAGGTCTCAAACTCCTTTATTGCTACAAAGCTCACTTTTCCTCCCACAAATTTGTTCTCTGGTGTTCCTTATTATCCCCGTCTGCTCAGGCGCTGGGTACCAGCCTCCAGCACCACCTTGTGCTGCGTCCCCTTAATCCACTCAGTGTCCAGACCCACCCATCTGTTCTCAACGCTGAGCCCTCACCCGCCTCCTCTTCCGGTGATAAATAGTCTTACGTCTTTCATGGTCTCATCTGCTTAGAACTTTAGGGGCACCCCAGTACCTGCAGCGAGCTTTGAGCTTGCACGGGGCGTTCGGGGACCCCATGTGGACCCACGTTCCTCCGGTCTGTCTCCTCCTGTCGGATTCCTCCGGCATACCCGAGGCCCCTCGCCAGTTCCAGAGCGTTCTTTTTGCAGGCTTTGCCCACTGTCCCTGCCAGACCGCTTCAGGCCACGTGAGTGACCTCCAGAGCCTCGACCCCTCCAATGCAGCAGCTTCTCTTCCCTGCGTCCTGCCTCTGTTTTATCTCCGGGCACTTCGGTGCCTTCCGTGCCTGTTGGGACAGGTTTCTATCGCAGGCTCCTCAGGAGTGCAGTGCTCACGTTTGTGTCCCCTGATGCCCATGCCTGGTGCCTTTCCCGTCCACTCTGCCCTGGGCAGTGCCAGGCAGTGTCGTGCAGCGTCTGTCTCCAGCAGAAAGAGCGAGAACGCCGGTTGTCACAGCTCTCACTCGAGTACGCTTGGTATTACTTCACGGGGGTGTAAACAGATTCGGTCATTTACAGGTTATTTGGCCACACAAGTAAATAGCATGACTGTTTTTATCAAACAGTGTCTTAAATTGTAGGCCAGGCTCTTGTTCAGAATAAACAACGGCGTCAACTTACTTATAAGGCAATGCATATGTGAAAAGGCTTTATAAAGCTGTAAAGTGCACAGGTGGTTACTGTTTACTGAATACTTACAGCATAAGGTCTCTGAGATCAGTGGAAGATCGGAAGATGAGTAAGACGGTGTGACTTTAAGAAGCTTATGTACGAGGGGTGAGAGAGAAGACATTTATACCCATTCCTTAAACAAGGTAGAAGTTAATGCCTGCAGTTTATGGAGATCAGTGAAAAGTTCGGTATTTAGTAGGCAGTTGGATGCTTAGACTGGGGCTCAGGAGAAGTTTTAGGGTCAGTAGCATAGGCTTGGGGGCTGTAAAGATAACAGACTTTATAGGTTTCTACGTCGTAATAAATGTTGGAGGAAATTTCCTATGTTAAATTGAAAATATGTTAAATGAGACACTTTTTTTGAGAGCTGGCTTCCACAGAATGCTGATTTCATCACAGTGTGTGTAAAATCTTACTGAATTCCCCAGCAGACTTTCAGGATGGGCACTACTCGTGTCCCGTTTTGCAGAGAAACCTAGGTGGGAAGGTGCGCAGGGTCTCGCTTCCAGGGAGCACGGAAGCCGGGAGTAGATGTTGAGAGAGCCAGCTGCAGAGCCTGTGTCCGTAGACGGGACCAATCACACCAGGAAGCGTGCAAAACACAGGCCGTTTATGGGAGAACACGTCCAGTTTGCTGACTTGCACACACGTGTGTGAGTCGTGCTGTGTGATGAGAAGAACCTGAGCTGAAGCACGTGGTGAGAGCAGAGTTTGAACAGGGCCCCCCTGCCAGGCTCACCGTAAGTCCCCATCTTTGATGATATGCCACGATGCCAATGGCATTCTTCCCAAGGTGCTGCTGTGTTAAGATTTATTTTCAAAAGAAGGTTTCATATTTTTGGCCATGTACTAGAATTGATTTTTCTCCTTTGAGTACTTACGTTTTGTTTTAATTATTTCTTTTCTTTCCTTTTCTGAAGTCCACGACTCTTTATACCACCTTCGACGAAGTAAGTAAACTTAGGGAGTATCTGGAAACAAATACAACATTGTTTTTTACTACACAGGAAATGTTGATAGTCATACATGCAAAAAACCCCACTTTATTATAAAGTGTAGTTTTCAGGCTAATTTTGAGATCCAGTATGATTTACCTAGTTTCTGAAGTTATGGAAAGAGCAACATTGGAAAATGCCAAGAGATACTAATATTATATGCTATGATTATTTAGAGGTTACATTTTAGATTTAAGATTAACACTTGCTTCTTTTGCACATGAAATATACATGAACTGTGGTTGTAAGTGTACAACAATGCATTTAATCTGTGAATTGGGTTTGTGAATCTAAAGCTGAAAATCTGGGCGAGTAAAAACTGCCATTGAAAATATTTTTTATCACTTTAGAGTATAGAGGCTTTTATGTGTGTGTAATCCTGGATAATAATTCTCATGAAGCCTGAAGTGTGATTTCACAGTTAGCCGACAGGAGGAAACAAAGGGAGAGTCTCTGGGGAGAGATTTGGGTGTTTAGATTACTTTGCCTTTAAGATAACTCTTAGATTCCTTAGTAAATGGGTGGTGGGTGGGATTAAGCAATGTGTCTGTTTACTTGTAGACTTTATTCCATTAGGTAAATAACTTGTATAATTTAATACATAATATGTTTGATGCTGTGAGGATTAAATTAGATAATGTAGTCATATCTGTATGGGATTAGGGTCTGTTGCGTTGGATTGGGTGGTTGGGTTCCAAACTGGTGTGTTAAGAAGTGGTGTATAAGGTAACTCTGATGTATACTTCTATCCACATACACACACATACACATGGATGCACACTCACACATGTGAATATACATGAACACATACATACAAATAGGAACACACACAAAAGCACATGTAAATACATACATACACACATACACGTACAAATACACTTGAAGACACATACACATATACATGCATATACTTCTAGATATACGTAAACACACATATACATACAATACAGAAGCATGCAGATATATACACACGTCCCCCTACACGCATGTAAATACACATCAGCATATGTATGCACAAATACACCTATAAAGACACATCCACATACATATAGACACATCATCACACGTATCCATATATGCACGTAAGTACACATAAACACCCACATACACATACAATTAAGATACATACATATTCCTATGTATTCCTAATGTCATCATACTGGTTAAGAAAACGGGTGGCTGGCTAGGTCTTTAAGACTGTCCTTATTTCCTTTGCTCTGGGCTTCTGTAGCATGTTGTAACCAGAGATCCTCCATCCTTTGACTCTGAAGGTTCTGTATGTACATGTGTGTGCACTAATTAATTAATGTATTTATCTTTGGTGTTTTAGATATTGGCAAAACACTTGGATGATGGTAAAATCAATCAGCTTCCTCTTTTCCTTGGAGAGCCTGCAATGGTAAAATACTAGGCCTTTTCCGGGCTCATATTCTTCTATTTATGGATGTGGTTAGCACTTCTCCAAAATGAAGTTAATCCTGGCTTGTGATCTGCTCACAAAGAGCACTTCTGAACCACCCCCGCACTGTCCCAACGTCACACCCGCGGCAGATTGCAGCTTGGGCTTCAAGGCCCTTTTTCTGAGGCCTGCTGCTGGAGCTGCCCTGCCCCCCCGGCGCCGCCTGTGAGTGGGTCGCTGGGACCGTGGTGCTGGAGGGGCCAGATAGTGGTGTCCAGCCGGGTCCGTTTCCTACTTAACACTGTTGTTTTTTTATGAAACTATTACAATGGCTACTTTGGACTCTCAGTAGAATTTTTATATTTCTTCCTTTCCACTGAGCGTTATTAGCAGCCTGGGTTCTAATGGGTGACATTAGTGGGATTCTGCACGGTCTCTGGGTGTCGTTTCTGGCAGCAGGAAGTGAGGGTGAGTGAGCGAGTTTATCTGACATTTGTTTCCCTCCTGAATCTCCGGGACTGCTCCATCCACCAGCCGCTCGCCCGGCTCAGCACTTCTGACTCTTTCTGCTCCAGCCTGCACTGGGGAAGCAGCAGCTGTCCTCACTGTGGGGGGCTTCACAGAGGAGGGCACAGATCTGAGAGAGGCCTCAGGACAGGGAGGGGCAAGGGCTGTGTTGAGGCAGGAGGAAAGTTAGCTTCCAGACGTGGACACCTCTACCTGTTCCTTCGGGGGGATGTGAGTAAGAGTAAGACCTGGTGACTTTTACTAAAGCGCTGGTGCTGTCCACTTCCCTGTCAGTCCTCCCCAAGCAGCAGGGGGCAGTTAGAGAGACTGGGGCTTCCCAGGGAGGGTCCTGCCCCAAGCAGCGGGCCTCAGTTAGAGAGACCAGGGCTCCCCAGGGAGGGTCCTGCCCCAAGCAGCGGGGGGCAGTTAGAGAGACCGGGGCTCCCCAGGGACGGTCCTGCCCCAAGCAGCAGGGGGCAGTTAGAGAGACCGGGGCTCCCCAGGGAGGGTCCTGCCCCAAGCAACAGGGGCCAGTTAGAGAGACCGGGGCTTCCCAGGGAGGGTCCTGCCCCAAGCAACAGGGGGCAGTTAGAGAGACCGGGGCTCCCCAGGGACGGTCCTGCCTCAAGCAGCAGGGGGCAGTTAGAGAGACCGGGGCTCCCCAGGGAGGGTCCTGCCCCAAGCAACAGGGGGCAGTTAGAGAGACCGGGGCTTCCCAGGGAGGGTCCTGCCCCAAGCAGCGGGGGGCAGTTAGAGAGACCGGGGCTTCCCAGGGAGGGTCCTGCCCCAAGCAGCAGGGGGCAGTTAGACCGGGGCTCCCCAGGGACGGTCCTGCCCCAAGCAGCAGGGGGCAGTTAGAGAGACCGGGGCTCCCCAGGGAGGGTCCTGCCCCAAGCGGCGGGGGGCAGTTAGAGAGACCGGGGCTCCCCAGGGACGGTCCTGCCCCAAGCAACAGGGGGCAGTTAGAGAGACCGGGGCTCCCCAGGGAGGGTCCTGCCCCAAGCAACAGGGGCCAGTTAGAGAGACCGGGGCTTCCCAGGGAGGGTCCTGCCCCAAGCAACAGGGGGCAGTTAGAGAGACCGGGGCTCCCCAGGGAGGGTCCTGCCCCAAGCAACAGGGGCCAGTTAGAGAGACCGGGGCTTCCCAGGGAGGGTCCTGCCCCAAGCAGCGGGGGGCAGTTAGAGAGACCGGGGCTTCCCAGGGAGGGTCCTGCCCCAAGCAGCAGGGGGCAGTTAGACCGGGGCTCCCCAGGGACAGTCCTGCCCCAAGCAGCAGGGGGCAGTTAGAGAGACCGGGGCTCCCCAGGGAGGGTCCTGCCCCAAGCAACAGGGGGCAGTTAGAGAGACCGGGGCTCCCCAGGGACGGTCCTGCCCCAAGCAGCAGGGGGCAGTTAGAGAGACCGGGGCTCCCCAGGGAGGGTCCTGCCCCAAGCAACAGGGGCCAGTTAGAGAGACCGGGGCTTCCCAGGGAGGATCCTGCCCCAAGCGGCGGGGGGCAGTTAGAGAGAGCGGGGCTTCCCAGGGAGGGTCCTGCCCCAAGCAGCGGGCCTCAGTTAGAGAGACCAGGGCTCCCCAGGGAGGGTCCTGCCCCAAGCAGCAGGGGCCAGTTAGAGAGACCGGGGCTCCCCAGGGACGGTCCTGCCCCAAGCAGCAGGGGGCAGTTAGAGAGACCGGGGCTCCCCAGGGAGGGTCCTGCCCCAAGCAACAGGGGCCAGTTAGAGAGACCGGGGCTTCCCAGGGAGGGTCCTGCCCCAAGCAGCAGGGGGCAGTTAGACCGGGGCTCCCCAGGGACGGTCCTGCCCCAAGCAGCAAGGGGCAGTTAGAGAGACCGGGGCTCCCCAGGGACGGTCCTGCCCCAAGCAGCAGGGGGCAGTTAGAGAGACCGGGGCTCCCCAGGGAGGGTCCTGCCCCAAGCAACAGGGGGCAGTTAGAGAGACCGGGGCTTCCCAGGGAGGGTCCTGCCCCAAGCGGCGGGGGGCAGTTAGAGAGACCGGGGCTTCCCAGGGAGGGTCCTGCCCCAAGCGGCGGGGGGCAGTTAGAGAGACCAGGGCTCCCCAGGGAGGGTCCTGCCCCAAGAAGCGGGGGGCAGTTAGAGAGACCGGGGCTTCCCAGGGAGGGTCCTGCCCCAAGCGGCGGGCCACAGAGAGACTGGGGCTTCCCAGGGAGGGTCCTGCCCCAGGTGGCGGGCCTCAGTTAGAGAGACCGGGGCTTCCCAGGGAGCGTCCTGCCCCAGGCGGCGGGGGGCAGTTAGAGAGACCGGGGCTTCCCAGGGAGGGTCCTGCCCCAAGCTGCGGCCTGCAGTTAGAGAGACCGGGCTTCCCAGGGAGGGTCCTGCCCCAAGCGGCGGGGGGCAGTTAGAGAGACTGGGGCTTCCCAGGGAGGGTCCCGCCCCAAGCGGTGGGCCTCAGAGAGACCGGGGCTCCCCAGGGAGGGTCCTGCCCCAAGCGGCAGGGGGCAGTTAGAGAGACCGGGGCTTCCCAGGGAGGGTCCTGCCCCAAGCGGCGGGGGGCAGTTAGAGAGACCAGAGCTCCCCAGGGAGGGTCCTGCCCCAAGCGGCGGGGGGCAGTTAGAGAGACCGGGGCTTCCCAGGGAGGGTCCTGCCCCAAGCGGCGGGCCACAGTTAGAGAGACCGGGGCTTCCCAGGGAGGGTCCTGCCCCAAGCGGCGGGGGGCAGTTAGAGAGACCGGGGCTTCCCAGGGAGGGTCCTGCCCCAAGCGGCGGGGGGCAGTTAGAGAGACCAGAGCTCCCCAGGGAGGGTCCTGCCCCAAGCGGCGAGGGACAGTTAGAGAGACCGGGGCTCCCCAGGGAGGGTCCTGCCCCAAGCGGCGGGGGGCAATTAAGAGACAGAGTTCCCAGGGACAACCCAGCATGGTACCTCAGCTGTATTACCTTGATTAACTGTCTCTGAAGCTCAGTTTCCTCGTCTCTGTAAGCCGACACTGCTGTTCCCTAGATAGGTCAGGTATGGCCCATTCTTTATTTCCTCAGTTGAGAAAACTAACAAGATATTTTCTCTGTTTATATCCTGAAAGGAGTTTCTTTGGGATTTCCTAAACCATCAGGAGGGCCCCCGTATAAGAGACCATTTAAGCCATGGGGAAATCAACTTACCTGAATTTCCGAAAGAGGCAGCAAACCAATTGCTTGCATTTTCCATTGTACTTTTACTCAGATTCACTGATGAAGATCTGTCGGCAGCCCTTAAGGTAACATATAAGGAAGAGAACCATTAGATGCACTGTTATTCAGCTGTGACAGAATACAGCTTATTTTCGGGTGTAATTAACCCGTAATCACCTTTTCTTTAAATTTATGTGAGTTATTGTATGCCTCCATCAGAACACGTAATTGTGACTTGATTATATGCATATATTTACTGCAATAGGTAAACTGATATTGTGTGATCAAATGAAAGAACCAGTATAAAACAAATTAACTAAATATATCAGAAAATTTTACAAATGACAAATTGGTCAGATGGAATATTTGCATCAATCAGTAAACTAATTCTTTTATTATTTTATAATAAATAATTTGGGTTAGTTATTGATATTTTAATCTGTTTTTCAAATTATACATGTCACAGTTACTGTAAAGATTATTGAGAGGTTCAGACAAAACAGAAAACATGATAGGAAAACTGACAGCACTCAGGAAGGCCTTGTGGGGTGGAGCGCTGTTCATGGGTGGGCATCTGCTCCCACCTCTTCCCACGAGCACACGGTGCAGCTCGAGGAAGAAACCTGTTAGGGATTAGCATTCCTTCTACCTGATTTCTGTCAGCTGTCTGACATTTTTTATCAGTATATCCTCATGTGTATAACCTGTCCCTCATGGATGAGTGAGTTCTGATGTGTGGAACGCTCCTGATTACAGTGTCTCAAGTAAACATCCTTGTTCACTTGGGCACATGTGTAAGTGAATTTGTTCAAGTACAGTTCTGAAGCAAACGTACAGTAAGACCATGTTTTTATCTCTCTGTTTTGTGTTACTTTGCTGTCTTTTATTGTTTGTTGGAAATGTGTGATTCTTTTGTGAACGATTAATGTCTTTTGCTCCATTTTATGCATTTTTATGGTTTATTAGCTGCACTTACCACTCCGATGTTTATGTTGCTCCTTATTTGTCTTGAAGTTTTTAGGTCTTTTCATTTTGGCTTATGCATTTGGAATTATTCTTTTTTTTTTTTTTTAAGATTTTATTTATTTATTTGACAGAGACACAGTGAGAGAGGGAACACAAGCAGGGGGAGTGGGAGAGGGAGAAGCAGGCCTCCCGCCGAGCAGGGAGCCCGATGCGGGGCTCGATCCCAGGACCCTGGGATCATGACCTGAGCTGAAGGCAGACGCTTAACAACTGAGCCACCCAGGCGCCCCTGGAATTATTCTTAAAAGACCCTTTGCTTTCCAAAATTATGAACATACACGTGCATTTCCCTGGTACCTTTATAGGGTTTTTTCCCATTTACATCTTTTGATCCAGCTGGAATTTATTTCATCTGGGAGTGAGTTAGAGAATCTAGGTTTACTTGTTTTTGTTTTTTTGTGGGTTTTTTTTTTTTCCTTTTCTTAGACAAAGGCTTGCAAGTTGGCCCAAGAGCATTTGAAAGACAGACATCTCTGTAGTATGTGCGGTGGACTTGGTCTTCTTGTGTATTCGTACTCACCTTCGTGACAGAGTTTCATGTCTGTAAGGTTACTTTCCCATCTCTCTTCTCTTTCAGAATTCTCCCACCTCCTCCCTATTAGGATTGTAGGCAAACTTGTATAGTTACCGTAAATACAAAGCCCAAGACTAACCAAGCAACAGACAGGAATGGCTCTTGATGGATTCATTTAGGGGTAATTGATGGTTTTTACAACAGTGAACGTTATTCCCAAACGTGGTGTCTCCTCCGTGTCCTCAGCCTTCCCTCGCAGAGCCTCCCCCTAAGTGGCAGCGCCATCCAGAGGCCAGAATCTCCTGTCTTTGCTTGTCCACATCCTCCTGTGCCGTGTGCTGGGCCGAGCTGCCCCAGCCTTCACCTGGCCTCGCTGCGGCCACCTGTTTTCTTGTTAGTGCAGCAGCCAGAGGGGTCCTCCATAGGCCCTCCCTCCCACGGTCTCACGTCTCAGATGAGAAGCCGTGTGCTCTGCCGGGCCCGGGGCCTCTTGTGCCTTCATCACTAGTCTTCACACGTGTGAGTTGCATCTGCCCCACGCAGAGGTCGGCCTACCTGCCTTGTGCACAGAATCTCTCTGCTGTGCGGTAGAACTTGGGTCTTTGAGCGAACGAAAGGTTTGCGTCTGGTATTTAGTGACTTGCTTTGTGCTGTTGAGAATTCTGGGGAGTTACTGCTTCTATGTGGGAAAGCGACTGATTGATGATTGGTGTATTGTTAGTCAGCTGTCAACTCACTGACTTTTCTTTTTGTTTCTGATAGTTTTTAGTCAGCCAGCATGGATTTTCCAGCCACACAGTTATATCAGGTGTAAATAATGTTATTTTTACTCTTTTTTTCAACATTTACATGTGTAGCAATATGACTCTCTTTTGGTTGTACTGATTTTTAATGTTTAAATTCCCATTCTATTTTTTTTTGGAGACATTCTTATTTTCCATTTTAGAGTCTTATTATGTATTTCTAGTGCCACTGATTTTGAACAAAGCGGATGTGGCCTTTGTTATTTATCATTGTTAATTGGCTTCATTTAAAACACCTCTGTTGGTTATGATTTGACCACTGTCTCAGACCTGTTTTGGTGAAGAGTCTTGCTCTGTTACAGCTGAAGTAACGTGGTGAGATGGGGGCTCTCTTGTGACTCGCATTCAGCAGGAGAAAACTGGGGGCCTGACCACACGTCACGGTAACCCTTGTCTGTTTTTTCTGAACCAGGAAAAAGCAGCGATAAAGTCACTGGTTGGTCTTGCGGAGGGTTACCACGCCCACTTCCACCCAGTTGCTCAGCTTAAAAAACAGGTGAGCCGCACGAGGGCTACCGGGAGGGGCGTGCACGGCACCTGCAGCAGAGATGCCCACTGGTCCAGGCGGCCTGGCAGGCTGGGCTTCAGGGCTGCGACCGGAGGCTGTGCTCAGGAGGTGGCCTTGGCCACGTAGCTCTGTCCCTCCGAGCCTCACATCTGACATTCGGCAGAGCAGTAATGATGGTGTTTGTTGTTTCCGGTGATTTTAGTACTTGAGGTATGGGTCAGCAGGTCGTTGCCTTCACTTGGGCAATGTTCCTTTTACCAGGCAAGACCAGAGCTTGTTCCTGTGTAAATTAGATCATGGAAGCCACAGACTTTGAAGCATTTCTGCCAGGAGGTTCCAGTGTGGAAATGAGCTTGGGTGCCTTATTTTCCATGTAGCTGGATATGAATGTGCAAGGGGCAAGGATGGGGTTGTCTCTAAGAGTAGAATAGTCATGATAGTTGCTAATGCAGACATTCATCAGTGCTGGCCTCTAAATGGAAGCTGTGGGATCCACACGTAAGGGTTTAGGGAGAGATTTACAGCGGCAGCTGGAAGAAACTGCCCAAGACGAGGGAGTGTCACTGATGAAGTCTTAAGAGAAGTAGTGTCAGTTAGAAGGGGCTGTCGGCAGTGGATGTGCAGAGAGTTCTAGAGGTGTTTTACTCTCCTGGTGCTACGTGAGGAAAGAGTTCAACCCGAATACCTGTGCCCCGTGGGTTCTAGTTCAGCAGCGAGTCATCGGGCTGCAAGGGAGGACGCCAGGTGCCTGCAGCACCCTGACCTGCAGAGTCAGGAGGGAGGAAGGGAAGGGACAGAGAAGGGGGACGTCCCAGAAGGAAGAGAAGCTTCAGGAAGGCAGGACTTGCCCGTAGACCTCTGCGGCCGAATCTCCAGCCTCACGAGCCCCCCTGCTCCTCGGCCGCTGCTGCCACGGCCCTGGTGGAGGCCCCTCCGTGCCCCCCAGTGGGTGTATCTGACCCTCACCCTCCCCTGCAGCTTCTTATTCTTGCTGCCCGTGATGTATTCATTTTTCGTTTAGCAGTCTTGCATCCGTTCTTTTTAAGGTCATTGCTCTGCTCACTACTGCTGCATAAATTACCCACATTCAGTGGTGTCAATGTTTAATTTGCTTACACTTTCGTGAGTCAGAAATTTGGCATGGGCTTCCCTGGTTTGGTGTTCCATCTGAGAAGATGAGAAGTTGGTGCGGCGCCTCCCAGCGAACCAGGGAGAGGTGCCGCCCTTTCTGACCTGGCTTCCAGAATCACACACATCCTCACTTCCACTGTGTTGTCTGGGGGAAGGCCACTCACCAAAGCACGTCCTGATTCAGGAGGGGACAAGGACCTCCACTCTCAACAGGGGCGTCAGGAGTTTGCTGATATGTTTTACAACTACTCCACATGTTAATTACCTCCTAATCTCCTGTTAATTTCACTGGCCTTCACTTATCTGATGGTATTGAGTAACTGAGACCCACCACCTGGTTTTAAAATGTAAGATCTGTAACAATTTTGCCAATATATATCTCCTAGAAAGTGATTGCTACGTTCGTAATAGTTACAAAAATATTTTCCAGACTGTTACTGTAAAATCTTTAAAAGCAGTAGGACATTTTTCTCTCAGGTGCTGAGCTGTGAGAAGAGCATCAGGGTTTGGCCCCTCCTGCCTTTGCCTGAAGAGGCCGAGGAGGCAGCCAGGTGAGTTCTGTCCTGGGGTCATGCAGACCTCACAGTCCCCAGTGGACGCCAACCTCCACGTGAGGTCTCAGCGGTGCCACGGGAAGACCAAGTGCAGGGGGCTTGGTAGGCCTCAGTGGGCAGGGCAGGCCACTTGGTGGAGGCACAGGGGGCGCAGTCTCCCCGCTGAGGACCCAGCCGGTGGTGGGCCATTTGGGGAGACCACGAACACAGGAACAGAGGCAGGCTTTGTGGGGAGGAGGTTGGTGTCTGCTCGAAATATTTAGTGGGTGATTAGACATAGGATCTAAAGGTCAGGAGAGAAGTAGGGATAGAGATTTTGGAATCAGGATATAGCAGATCCATCTCGTAGGAGTAATAACTTAGATGGTTTGTTGCTTTTGTCAACAACGTATGTTGCTTTTAGCCTGTCGTTTATTTTTACTATTGCCTCTGACCGTGGGTTTTTCATTTTATATTTGGGAAAACTACGTTGCAGATTAAGTGAACCATTAAACATTTGCATGGCACTGCTTGGGCTGGTCTGCATACCTTCTGTTTTTCAGATTAGAAGGTACTTCTGAAACACAGGCCTGCGAGGCTTTAATCACAGAAATCCTGAGAGCCCTGCCCCGCCACTTGCCCGAGAGCCGTGGTGTTGTCAGCGACCGGGACAGTCTTCCCACCGAGAGGTGAGTCTCCCAGAAGTGTCAGGAATTGCTGGGGCGCTGACCAGCCGCGTCGGGCTCCCGCACTCAGCTCTTTTCTGTGTCGTAACGTCTGTGGGCTTGCGGCGGCATTCGGCCCCACTGTGGCTGTGCCACCACAGACCGGGGAGCCCACCCTCCGTGGCTCGTGAGGTGCTGGTGTGCGTGACGGGGCTCTCTTGCACACTCTGCCCCCCACAGTTAAGTGTGCGTGCGTGCGTGTGCGTGAGGCCTGCAGAACTGAGCACACTGTGTAACAGCCACTGCTCCCCAGAAGCTGAGCGTCGGGGGGCCCGGGCGGTGAACATGCCCCATGAGAACTTGCATTCCAATCCCCAGGTGGCCCCAGGTGATCCAAGAACTCTGCGGCACCCCTGTCCCAACTCTCTTCTGTCCCAGAACCGTTCTGGAGGTGCTCACCGTGCTCCGAAACATCAGCGCACACTGCGCCCGCGTGTCCAGCCAGGTCGCTGCCTCTGTGGAGCTGAGACACCAGCAGTGGGTGGAAAGGAGACTGCGCTCCCGGCAGAGGCAGACCTACCTGCACATGCTCACTAGGTGTGTGGCTCGCGGGCCTGGTCCGGAGATGCCCCGCTGGGCAGGGGTTCTGTTGGGATGCAGCTCTGATTCCTACTTTCAGGGGAGTACTCACTTGCAGAGGACACGTAGTGTGTTAAATGCTGTTGTGATTTTGGTGTAAGAGAATATGGGTGCCACTGACCCAAATGAGTGTCTGGATTTAAAATATTAACAGCAGGTTAACTTGCGTATGCCAGCATTCTGGTTCTTTACGTGTTGTGTATTTTAGGATGTTCTACATCCTTAAGAAATTACCGTTTTGGACAAATTCCTAGAACTCTGGTTGAGTGGTATCTGAATCTGTAAAGCCTTTAACGGGTTTTCCTTGGCTGCTTCTGAAAGGTACGCTCTAACCAGCAGTTTATACGATGGTGCCTGTGACGTTACATCCTTCCCCAAATGGTATATTTCAGAAGAATTCCCTACCGGTTTCATGAGCACGAGATAGTATCTTACTTTGATCAGAATATCTTTGTGTCCTGGAGACATTGAACACATTTCCAGGTTTGAGCCATCTGTTTCTTCTTGTGGGAGTCGTTTACCAAATACCAGAGCATAGGACAGACACTGCAGACAGAGACCCAGAGCCAGAGGAACTGCTGGACGCAGAGCCAGTGCCGTCTTGCTCCTGAGCCGCGGTGGCTGGGAGGCCGGCGGCGGTTGGCCGGCGCTCCGGGGGCGGGGCGGGGGCCCACAGGGAAACCGCCACAGAGCGGCCTCGAGAAGGCTGAATTTAAGTTCCCTTGAAAAAGAGTTTTCACTGATGAAAGTGCAAAATTCTTACGTTTGTCACCTTACTTCATCTTTTTTAGTATTAAGCTTCTGTCTCCTGTGCTTTACCTGATTTTATTGCTGATTGCCCTGGAATTGGTCAACATTCATGTGGTTCATGGAAAAAATACTTACGAATATCAACAGTATCTAAAGTAAGTGTGTTGTATGTATAAGAAATGAAACTGTTTTAGTAAATTTAAGTGATTTTACTTCTGTTGGTTATTTTATTTCATTATTATTTTTTTAAGCCCACAGTCTTGGTTGGCTCTTTACTGTTTTTCTCTGTGGATTTTGGTGCAAGTTTGTGAACTTTTGAAACTAACACCCATGTAGGCTTATTTCAGAAAATTAAATGGGATGAGCTGGCAAACGCTTTCAGAATTCCTCACTCTGTCATAACACCACCGCCACGCAGAGAGTGATATTGCAGGGAGCACGTACCTCATGTTTAAAGTAAAAGTGAAAGTAGGACTGTTATTTTCTTAAAGAAACGTGGAACCCAGGTGGGAACCAGGGTGGCCGCCACGCAGAATGTTACGGATCGGTGGCTCCACGTGAGCCCGCCCGCCCCCACATTCTGCGCTGGGGGGGTCGTCTATGGTGGGCCATCTGAGCATGCATGGTGGGAGTAGCTCCCTGACCCCAGCATTGCGTGCCGGTAGCTCCGCATGGTGACAGCCCAAAATGATGCAGACGTTGCCAGATACAAAGTCATCCGCAGCTGAGGACCACTCTCTAGATGAAGGATCTGTGGACTTTCATTATACTATTCCTTTAACTTCTAAGTTTGAAAATATTCAGAATTAGAAGTTGGGGAACGTTGCCAGCCTACTTGGCAAACTGGGGAGAACTTGGAAAATAGAAGCATGACCTGATCCCCACCCGCTGGAGAAGAGCCTGGGAACCGTTTGATAAACACCTCTCAGCAGTGCTGTGTCCACGTGGAAAGTGTCTTCCGGGAGACAGTGCACCTGCATTGCAAGGGCAGGTGTGGGATGCCCGGGGCCAGAGAGGCACCCCCGTGGGGCTGCAGGGCCTGCACGCTCCCCATTGTGTGCATTGCATGCTCACATGGCATTTAATCCAGGCGGGCTCTAACGCCTTTTCTGGAGTGCAGTTCCATCACATGCAACCATCTTACCTGATGTGAGAGTGCGTTTAACAAGGCGCTCGGGCATGTAACTCGTCCGGGGTCCAGCATCTCTTCCTCTAGGTTCTGTTCTCACTTCCATTTTGCATGTGGTTCTTTTATTCGAATTTACAGACAAAAATTAAGTGCAGTACTTTATTTTTTTTTAAGATTTTATTTATTTGACAGAGACACAGTGAGGGAGGGAACACAAAGAGGGGGAGTGGGAGAGGGAGAAGCAGGCTTCCCGTGGAGCAGGGAGCCCGATGCAGGGCTCGATCCCAGGACCCTGAGATCATGACCTGAGCCGAAGGCAGTCGCTCAACCAACTGAGCCACCCAGGCACCCCTTAAGTGCAGTACTTTAAATTCCAAAACGAAAAGAGTGCATTTAAATCATTGTTGCATTTTATAATAGAATAAAGAAATTAATTAATTTTTGTTAAAACAGGTTCTTAAAGTCGATCTTGCAGTACACGGAGAACCTGGTGACTTACACCAGCCAGCAGAAGAACAAGTGGAACGAAACTATCAGTCTTACACGTACAGCTCTGTTGAAAATTTGGACTTTCAGTGAGAAGAAACAAATGTTAATACATTTAGCCAAGAAATCCGCAAGTAAAGAAGGCTTATGAAAACACTTAGAAGTCAAGATGCTTTTGGCTACATCTGAAAGCTCCGCCTGAATAGGCTTTACCAGCATGGAAATTGAAAAGCCAAAGGTAGGGTGGATTGCAGGCTCTGATTGGTCAGGGATCAAGTTCCGTTTCTCTGCAGTTTTCTGAATTGCTGTTCCCGCGTTTGTGTGAACCTTAGGCTGGGTCCCTTCCTGGGACCAAATGGCCGCAGCATTTTGGCCACCATGACACAGTGTCCAGGGGGAGCTTTATAACCACATGTCACCCAGGAAACTCTTGAAAACGGTCACTGTGGCCAGGTCCCCCTGCCCCGTCTTCACTGGCCAAACTGGGTAGGCTCCCCTCCTGAGCCACCACTGGGGCAGAGAAAGAACGTGGGCCAGTCCGGCCTCATCCCTGGAGCTGAGAGCAAGGCTGGATGGTCCAGATCCTATGGGACAGAGTTGGGGAGGAAGGTATGGTGGGCAGACGGGGCCAGGCAGCAGGTGTGCCCATCTGTGTGTGGCCGGGAGAGCAGGAGCCCCGGCACGTGTCTGGGTAGGAGGGTCTTGTGTAGGAGCGGGGAGAGCTGGAGGACTGAGGGTCAAGGGTGCAGTCGCCCCAGTCCTGCTCGGAGAGCTGAAATCTGATTCTCGAGGGCTCTCTGGGCCACTGCAGTTGTCTGGAGCATCCAGACACCCACTGTGAGGCCGTCCCCAGCCTCAGGTCTGTGTGTGCGCTAGGCCTCGCACAGTGACTCATGGCCTCTCCACCATCCCTACCTCCCAGGCAGGTTCTAGCCCATGTTCTAGTCCAAGGAACGGTGCCCACCCTGTGTGTTTCGGGCTTCTCTGCTGTCAGAGAGCAGTGCCGAGGCGGTCTCAAAGGGAAGGGGTGGTGCTGTGGGAAGACAGACATTCCATCACATTCCACCCATCCCTTTGCCAACTCAGCACCCACCACCCCTTTTAAACTAAACTCCAGGTAAGGACAGAGAGCACCGGGCTTCTGCCCCTGCGATGCGGCCTTCTCTGGTGCAGGTGTAGACCCTGGAGTCCCCGCGTCTGGGCTTCTGCCCCTGTGACATGTTCTTTTCCAGCAGTCACACCCTCCCTTGGACATACTCTAAATTAAACGATAATTTATGGTATTAGCCCCTCTAAATCCTCCTAATGTTAGAGCTGCAATGAAAAAGGGGAAATAAAAGAATTGATATATTTACCAAGCACATGAAGAGAAAGGTGCAACTCCTGTGCACCTGCTTTTGCACCTGGTGAGCTGGCAGATGTTGGTATTAAAAATCCCCTTTTCTACAACTCATCCCGTGTTCCTCTGCCCTCAGCCACTCACTTCTGTTGGTGGTGGTGCCTCAGCTGGTGGGTTGACCCAGACTTCATTCCTGAGAGTCGCCCTCCAAGACGTCTTCCTGGTTTGAGCAACTCGTTTTCCATTGGTTCTGATTGCTGGAAATGGGAATTCTAGGAGGTTCCCCAGAGGATCTCTTAAATTCCAGACACACACCTGCCTGCCCCTGTCTGGCAGTAGGCTTGTCCCCGAGGTGGGGAGCAGTGACCTAAGCCATGACAGTCTACCGGCTTTGCCTTTTGGTTCATTGGCATGAGGCGTCCAGTACAGCTGGGTGGCCTCTCAGCCTGCAGGCCAATGGGCCACTTGTGTCCCTCTGTGGAGCAGATCTTCCTTAGGAACAGATATTCACACCAGCGGAGCCCCAAATCCTGAGATCTCGTGAACCCTCCCTGCGTCACATGCTTCCTCCAGCTGTGTGTCCTGGCGTGGGAAAGACCACGTTGCCGGATACTGAGGGCAGTTCAGGGCACAAGGCACCACCACAAGCCGGCATCCCGACCGGAGGCCCCCCGCTGTGTTGTCCGGCTGGCTGCGTGGGAGTGCGGAGTCCGTGCCATGGTGGGGATCGTCCAGGACCCCGTTGCCGGACATCCGGGGGAGACGGACCTCTTAGAAGCAGCGCTGTCAGAACCACGGCAGCGAGTAAGGCTTTCTGGGAGCCACTGACAGGGACAGAAAGGTCACGGACGTCCACAGACAGGTCGTCATGTCCCTGAACTCCAGGGGTGAGCTTCCACACGGGAGGTGGCATCTGCATGTTGCTCCTCTCAGGAGCTCCAGCCGCTTCCCCTTCCTCGGCCCTTATCCACAGCCGAGATCCCACCTGCCACTGATTTTCAGTCCTGACCGTCACTGCCCATTTTCCGGAGGCCCGTCGTCCGGGCCGTTGCACTCTCCAGGTAACGTGGACAATGACACGCGGTACTTGACCGGCCCCCTCCCACACTGCTCTCAGGGTCGCCCTTGGGGCCCTCGTGCCACCAATCTTCACCTTTAGGTGGTACCAGCCTTATTCTTCAGAAATCAAGTAGAACTTTTTTACAGGTGGGGCACCTGGGGGGCTCAGGCAGTGAGCGTCCAACTCTTGGTTTCGGCTCAGGTCATGATCTCAGGGCTGTGAGACGGAGCCCTGCATTGGGCCCTGTGCTCAGTGTGGAGTCTGCTTGAGATTCTCTCTCCCTCTCTCTAAAATAAAAAAAATCTTAATAAAAAATACCCAAAAAACCTTTTTTACCGGCAGCCGCTCAGAGGGAACTCTGGGTGACCACGGGCACACGATGAGGGCATTGTTGCCGCAGGTGCTGGGAGACTGAGCCATCTGCTTGCGGTGCCTTCAGGACACGCTTGAGCCCAGTCTTGTATGTTAACAATGACATGCTCCAGCGACTGCCCAGCCCAAGGCCGCGAAGGGTCAGCCGGCGCGCTGACCAGCTCAAGTCCTGTGGGAACCAGGTATCCCTGGTGAAGTGCAGTGTCTGAGTCTGTCCCAGCGTCTGGAAGGCAGCCCAGAGCCCAAAGGAGGACAGTTATCTGCAGGATAATCCTCACGCTTCTGCCCCAGAGGCCGGCGGTGAGAGCGTCGGTGTCTGTGGGTCTCCAGCGTACTTGAGCGCTGGACGAGTGACCAGCCCTTGCACGCGACCACGGAGGTGCACAGGCTGCTTCTGGTAGGTCCTGTAGCAGGTGTACAAGGAGGTGCGCCGGAGCGGTCATTGGGGCCGTCTGTTCCAGTAGGGTACCCCCCCTGCGTGGGGCAGCGTCTGCATTTGGGTTCTGATCTGATTAAATGTGTGACAGCCCATGGCCACCCACCACACCCGTGTGCCTTCTTCATAGTCAGACGGGCACAGGTCCTATGACTCCTTTCGGAATTCCCATTAAAGCAATATTGCTTTTGGATTTTTACCGTCTTGGAGGAAAGCGGTCACTCTGTAGGTCTCTACTGTGCCCTCCCCACTGTTGTTTGAGGGTCAGGGGACCCAGCCATCCCTCTAGGAGAGATGTTCTGGGTCTGTGAGCTGGCTCAGTCCTGGGAATTGGGGGGAGGGCTGTGGTTGTGTAGTGACATCTCTGTCCACCAGCCGTGGGGACAGTTCGCTTATTCAGACCAAGGGTGACCTCAGTCCCTGCCCACGTGTTCCTGTCCAGGGGCTCCCTGATGAACTGGCTACCACCCAGGGTCTCTGTAGGTCTGATCCTCTTGCTTCATGCTGTGACGCTGTGGCCCGTTACGGGAACCACATACACTTACTTTTCAGCCCATTCCAGGACCTGACACTAGGTCCTGTCCTTCCCAGTGAAATTGGGTAACTAATTTACGTGGTGGCAGTTCCCTCTGTCACCTCCCCTAAAGGGGCCGACAGCCATCACAGACCTGCCAGGCATGCCGGGGTCCCCTTACCAGTGTTTTCTCCATGTCTGGAAGCTGCTTGCAGTTTCTCAGCAGCAGATGCAGCAGAATGAGACCCCAGGTATCCGGTTCATTCCCGCACTTTGAGTTTGACCACGTGTATGGCCTTCGTCGGGCGCACCAAGAGCAGAATCCTTCCCATTCACCAAGTTTGAGTTCACAAAACTGGTATTAACAATGCCGATTTGTGAGTTGACCATTAGAAATACTGTTCCCCACACCAGACAGCTCAAGTTGGCATGAACGGCAGACTGTGCCCCTGTCAGGAGAGGCTAGAGGCCCTGAGGGCTGAGAACAAGCACATTCTCACCCAGAGGTGCTCGGGAGCCGGCCGGCAGCAGAGAGACTGACGCAGAAGTAACGTCAGAGTGAGACCAAGCGAGGCAAGCGTTTGCTGAAACAGGTACAGTGCAGACGCAGCGTACGGTCCCTCTGGGGGGATTTGGGAGTGCTCCACAGAGGTGGCATTTGCGTTGGTTTGGGAAAACCAAGGATTTCAACAGATGGCATGCAGATTGGATACAAGAAGCGGAGTCACTGAGGCACGCTAGGTCAAGGTGGCCTGGAGGGGTCGCATGCCTTCTGAGCCAGCCCTCCCCATGCTGACCCCAGGGGGCTGCCCCGGCACGAGGCTGACTGCGGGGCCACCTGCAGAAGCCCCAGAGGTCACGCAGGGCACGTACCACAGAGGAGGAAGCCACTCCCATCTGAGCATCAGTCCTCCCTCTCCCCAGAACATCTGCCATTGCTCATCATCGGGGTTCCTCGTTGGTCGTGTCCATCCTTAGGGCCCTGACTCTGTTTCCCAAGTGCTCCTCAAACCCCCATTTTCTCCCACTTGTCTGGCTTCTCACCAGCTCTATCCAAAGCTGTTCAAGGGGATTCAGACTCTCACTTTATTATACCAAGTACTTAATTTTCCTCTGTTCTTACTCTCCTGTTAAGGCATTCCTTGAGATAGTCTTTATTTTCCTTAAACTAGATGTCCAACCAAATTGTTTTCCCAAAGAACAGCATTCTCTACCCAGGAGATGAATGACCCAACACTTACAAGGCACAAAATGATGCAATAGGATTTTGTTCTGAATTGCAAATTATTTTCCCCACTTTTATGCTGACGTTTCCCAACTATCTCAAAACCTTAAGACTCAGCCTTCTGCCTCCTGGACAGCTAAGCACCAACACCACACAGGCCACATTCCTTCCCTTAGTATCCTCTTCTGCTCAATCCTTCCTGTGTGTGCTCTGTCTTGATGAAAGGCAACACCAGGACCCCAGACTCCAGGGCTAGAAACGTGAGGGGCACATACCAGCACTCAGCTTGCAATTTCCCATCCATCCCACCACCTCATGTTCTGCCCAAGCCTGTCCTTGTTATCATCTGAGGACTTGTTGAGACCCTGACTTCTCGCCTCTCTAGTCCATCCTCTGAGCCAGAGAACAATGTTCCCCAACCACTAGTCAGATCGTGTTATTCCTCTAAATAAACACCTTCCATGCAAAGCATCCTGGTTCCTTTGCAGGGTGTCCAAGGCCCTCCTCATTCCCACCAAATGTGGGAATGTACCTCCCACAGTATTTCCTTGTGCATAGGAGTTTCTGCAAGTGAGAACAAGAGTTGGTGCCACATAAAGTAGGGAACCATGTCGTCTTGTTCCTGCTTCTAACGTCCCATCATTGAGCTGTGTTTTCCTTGTTGACTTCTTTCTTTAAAATTTATTCATTTCAGAGAGAGAGCACAAAGGGGAGGGGCAGAGGGAGAAGGAAAGAGTCCCAAGCAGACTCCCCACTGAGCATGGAGCCTGATGCAGGGCCTGATCCCACGACCCTGACATCATGACCTGAGCTGAAGCCAAGAGTTGGATGCCTAGCTGACTGAGCCACCCAGGCACCCCTCTTTGTTGACTTCTTACAGATATCTTCTATATTTTTTTTTAAAGATTATTTATTTGAGAGAGCGAGAATGAGAGAGAGTACATGAGAGGGGGGAGGGTCAGTGGGAGAAGCAGGCTCCTCGCTGAGCAGGGAGCCCGATGCGGGACTCGATCCCGGGACTCCAGGATCATGACCTGAGCCGAAGGCAGTTGCTTAACCAACTGAGCCACCCAGGCGCCCCTCAGATATCTTCTATTAATTAAGGAAGTTTTCTTTGGACACCTGCTTTCTGGCAGTGTGGCAAACTAAGTATCCTGTGAAATAGTCCTATCTGAAAACCCCTGGACACATATTCTGAATTGCAAAACCAAGGGACCAGAAAGTCCATGTGGGATAAAATGAAGGGTGAGCAAGAATCCAGAGGTCTAAGGGAGGTGTTCGCTGATCTCAGTAAGAGGTTTTTGTGTGGAAGGATGTGGGGTCAGGGGATGAGGTCTCGGAAGAGTGAAAGCACGTCACGAATCTTTTCCAATCACAATGGTATGAAACTAGAAATCAATAACAGGAGGAAGGGCGCCTGGGTGGCTCAGTCATTAAGCGTCTGCCTTCGGCTCGGGTCATGATCCCAGGGTCCTGGGATCGAGTCCCACCTCGGGCTCCCTGCTTGGCAGGAAGCCTGCTTCCCCTCTTCCACTCCCCCTGCTTGTGTTCCTGCTCTTGCTATCTCTCTCTCTGTCACATAAATAAATAAAATCTTAAAAAAAAAAAAAAAAACAGGAGGAAAACCAGAAGATTCAAAAATCTGTGGAGGGTGCCTGGGTGGCTCAGTCAGTTAAGCGACTGCCTTCGGCTCGGGTCGTGGTCCCAGGGTCCTGGGATTGAGCCCTGCATCGGGGTCCCTGCTTGGCGGGAAGCTGCTTCTCCCTCTCCCACTCCCCCTGCTTGTGTTCCCTCTCTCGCTGTGTCTCTCTCTGTCAAATAAATAAATAAAATTTTTTAAAAATAAATCTGTGGAAATCAACACACTCCTGAACAATCACTGGAGACATCAATAAGGGAATCAAAACATACCTTGAGACTAAAATGGAACACTTCATACCCAAACTTACAGAATGCTGCTGATGCAGCTGTAAGGCGGAAGTTTATAGTGATAAGTGCAGGATCTCCTATAAACAACCTCACTTTACGTCCCAAGGAGCTAGAAAAAGAACAAACTAAGTCTAAACTTCGCAGAATGAAAGAAGCGATACAGATAAGACAGAGATAAATGGGAGACTGAGGTGACACAGAAACAACAAAATTCAGAGTTGGTTTTTTGAGAATATAAACAAAATTGGCAAACCTTTAGCTGGAGTCACAAAGAAAGAGGGAGCGAGGATCCAAATAAATAAAATGATAAATGAATGGGGAGAGATTACAACGAATACCCTGGAGTGCAGAGGATCCCAAGACGGCTACGAACAAGTCCACGCCAACCAGTGGGACGACCAGAAGTGGCAGGGCACTGGAAACACACCCACGCGACCGAGTCAAGGCAAGCCGGTTTCATGGGACGGCCTGGGCACGGAGGCCGCTGGTGGCTCTGGGGAGCCACGCTTTCAGTTTGAACCAGCATTAGCCTCACATACAAAAAGAGAGACAACCGTGTTCTTCAAAACACAACCAAGCAGCCTTAGCATCTCCTTTCCCGTTCACGTCAGGGCAGTACGCAGGATACTGCTGTCACCCTCGCCAACACGCCCGTGTCTTCCTCCCCGGGAACGTGTCCCCTTCCGTGGTGGGAGGCCCACACGGATGTGATTCAGCCACAGATCTTGGCGTGGCCAGGATCAGCCAGGGCTCTCCGGAGAAACAACCAACAGAGCCGTGTGACGGTCTGGCCTCTTGTACGGAATTGGACGTGGTCTCGCTCGGTTTGGAGGCTGCTG